AGCCTCTCTCAGTCTTCGGCGTTGTTCTCTGAGGGTGTCGCGGTCTTCAGCAATGACGTCTTCAGCTCTTTTGCCCTTTCAAGCATGGCCGGTTTGTCATCGGTATGTACGAAGTCACCGAACAAAGGGGTTTCTTCCTGATTAGAAGTGTCAGGCAGGCCGGACTGCTCGTGAGGAAAAGTACTCATTTCCGTTTGTTCGCCCCCGTGGTAGGGGTCACCAGGTTGGTAGGGAGTGGTCGCCGCGCCTGGCTGAAAAGGACGGGTTGTGTCAACCTCTTGTTCGCCTTCATCAGAGTCGTGGTCTAGCCGATTGTCAATGCCGCGGTCTTCGTAACCAAATTCGCTACCGCCTTCCGCCATAGCGATATATTTCAAGCCAATTATTATTTTTCAAATTAGAAATAATCGCGGGTGTTTTATACACAATGGCAGAGGTGCCGGAGAACCTTCGCCCAACGCACAGAGAAAAGGCCATGCACGCCATGAAGGCCGAGCGCGCGGTCAAGCGGATCACTTTTAACCCCTCTGAAGCCAACCCCGGCAATACGCTGTACGTTTACGTGCCCAAGCTGAACCAGAACGAGGTTCTGGTGCCGGGCTCGCTAGCGCTTGTGTTTGACATCGACCTTGCTGGGGGGCACGCCAACAACTTCCTCGTCCAGAACGTCACGCGGGCGCTGGTTGNGATTCCCTTTTTCTTGACCCAATTTGATTGGACCTAATTTTGCTTTGTTTGCATTCGGGTACACTTTTTTGATATTTTCCCAGCCTTCTTCAATCATGACTTTTTCGTCATCAGGATGAATAAAACCTCTGAGCAAAGGGATTTCATCTTCCTGATAAGAAGTGTCAGGCAGGCCGGACTGCTCGTGAGGAAAAGTACTCATTTCCGTTTGTTCGCCCCCGTGGTATGGGTCGCCAGGTTGGTAGGGAGTGGACGCCGCGCCTGGCTGAAAAGGACGGGTTGTGTCAACCTCTTGTTCGCCTTCATCAGAGTCGTTGTCAAGCCGATTGTCAAGGTCCGGGTCTTCGTGACCAAATTCGCCACCGCCTTCCGCCATAGCAATATCTTTCAAGCATGTTATTTCAAATTAGAAAATAATTGCCGGCCTATTATACAATGTCAGTTCCAGAGAACCTTCGCCCAACATACAGCGAAAAGACTGTACAAGCCATGAAGGCCGAGCGCGCGGTCAAGCGAATCACCTTTAACCCCTCTGAAGCCAACCCGGCAATACGCTGTACGTTTACGTGCTCAAGCTGAACGAGAACGAGGTTCTGGTGCCGGGCTCGCTTGCGCTTGTCTTTGACATCGACCTTTCTTGAAGGGAAGCCAACAACTTCCTCGTCCAGAACGTCACACGGGCGCTCGTTGACAGGCTGGTCGTGTCGTTTGCGGGAAGAACCCTGCAAGACACGGTTGGGTACGACATCTACAAAACTTTCGAAGACCTTTTCCTTTCGCAGGAAGAGCGAGACAACAGGATTCTTGAAGGGATTCAGAGCGAGGATCTGTGCAAGATCCGCTCAGACGCGGGAGACAAGAAAACCTCGGGCGTCGACGCTGAAAACCAGCTGAACGAGATTTACGGAAAAAAATAGCGGATCAGGCTGGACCATCAGATCTTAACCGACCACGGCGTTTTCTACCCCCAGGCACTTTACAACGACCTCAAATTCGACGTAAAACTTGCCAAAGCTATACACGTGGTCAAAGGCTCCGACACAACCATGCTGAAATACAATCTGAAAAACATCCAGCTCGAGTACAAAATGATCCGCAGCAAGACTCTGGCAGACGAGGCGCGGAGCGTTTACTCTAGCGGCAAAGAGCTACTTTACGACCACGTGATGCATGACAAAGAGGTTCTATTCAAAAAAGAAATTGACTCGAGGCTCACCATCAAAGTCAACGCCCAAAGAAGGTCGTTAAAAGCTCTCCTCCTCCTGTTTGTAGAGCCGTATACTGCAGGCGCCAGAGATTCAGAAAAATTCATCTTCCCCGATC